ATTCTCTAGGGAGGAGTCCCCAGCGGCAGTCCCCAGGCAGAGCACTGCAGGGGACGTGACAGTCAGGCTCTGCCACGTCCCCAGCGTTAGCCGCCCACCCTGGCTCTCACCAACCAGGGACCAGGACCGGCAATGTTTATGACTCTAGGAACTGTGTGTGCACAGGACCCCAGGGCAGCCATGTGGCGGGGCCTGTGTGTCATTTTACTGCTCACCCTCCCTCCCTTCCTTCCTTTCTCTTCCTCACTGAAGTTCTAAGGGAAAAACCCAAAAGGGCCAAGAGCAGTTCTTGCAAAAGAGAGAAGACTCCGAAGTCACCCTACCCTAGAAGACCAGCCAAAGACAAAGACAAAGACGAAGGTAAGGTTTGCTATTTTGGGGCCCCGGCACACTAGGTGTGTATGATCCTGGCGCACACTAGGTAGGCAGATGGGCTTTCATTTCTGGAGCTGGGGCTGGCCGGCCGGACTGCCACGTGCACAGGGTTCTGCAGGGCACCTGGGATCGGCAGGCCCTGCTGGAGCATCAGGGCTGGTGTCCCAGGCAACTGGTGACCTTGGCCACCACTGGAGCAGTAGGTGGTTCCTGTCTGGGCAGGGGCGTGTCCCTTGAGACAAAGTAGAAGTCCACAAAACACCGGCCACTATTGTCCTCTCAACCCTGGGAGACCGGGCGAGTCTAAGGAAACAGAGCCGTTCAACCACACTGTAGCATGCATTGGCAGCTCATGGTACCCACAGCTCATACCACCTGCCGCTCATGGCACCCGTAGCTCAAGGCACCCACACCCCATGGCACCCGCAGCTCACAGCACCCACAGCCCACAGCACCTGCAACTTATAGCGCCCGCAGCCTACGCCACCTGCAGCTCACGCCACCTGCAGCTCACAGCTCTCCAGAGCAGTAACAGATACTGGCATGGGTGCACGTGCGGTGGGCAGCTCAGGGCACGCTTGGCCGAGGGAGCCGTGCCTGCTTTGTCAAGTGGGCACATTTAATGAGCAAGCCAGGACATCTCCTTCCACCTGCACACCTGGGGGTGGGAAAGGGTCTTCTGCAGACCCACTCCCTCCAGTAGCTTGGGGACTCCGCACAGGCACATGGGGGTGTGGGTCAGCCATGCGCTTGCGTTACGATTAATGTCATGCGTGTTTCCCGGAGAGTCCAGTCAGGTACTCCTGTGGGTGGATCCCAGTGGTCACAGAGGAATTTCTGATCCAGGCATCTCCCCTGCTGAGGACCAGGCAGAGGTGTCAGAGACCCAGCGGCCCAGCCTGGGCATGGGTTTCAGAGATGGCAGGGTGAACCTGAGAGCGGCCCCTGCCCTTGAACGGGTGGGCGGCAGGTAGAGTCCCTCCGGGGCTTCCCTCTGGGGCGTCTTCGTGGTCAGGGGAGTGGTGTGGCCAGCACCCACACTATGTGGGCCCACTGCAGCCTCCTGGTTCCCCGCCAAGGTCAGCAGTCTTGCTCCCATTTTGTAGATGAGGCAACCGAGGTTCACAGAGCGTCCACAGCCTGCCCAGGGCTACACAGGCAGAGGCAGAGCCTCCCACCCGTCCAGCCCGAGGCCGATGCTCCTAACCTGGGAACCCAGCTGTGTGCACCTGGGGCCACGCCTGGGCAGCTTGTCAAGGCCACCCTCCAGGCGTGGATCCTGGGGCCCCCGAACCACGGGGTTTTGGAGATACCAGCAACAGCCCCCAGGTGGAGTGAACGCCACCCACTGGGCTGAGATTGGCTCTGTGGGACCCTCACTCTAAGTTTTAGCAGTGCCAGCTTGCCGGCCTCTCCCGTGATGCTCCATGCCTCAGTTTCTCCACACTGTGTGCAATCACAGCCCTGGGGCCGCGGGGAGGGGCACTGCGTGGCGTGCGCTCTGTCCATGCCCGGGTGCCTGAGTGTCTGTCCCGTGTTATCAGTCACCGGCCCCTCTGCTCTTAGGCAAAGCGGCAGCTTCCAGCCGAGCCTCTGTGCCCACACCCAGAGAGGACGCGCGGGTTAGGTGGCAGCTCAGCGGGGCCGTGGGGCCACCATGTGCATTCAGCGGGGCCAGAGGCCGAGCAGGAGGGGAAGGCGATCGAGGGCCCTGGGCACCAAGAAGGTTCCGGAAGGCTGTGGAAACATGCGTACAATATAACAATTTTCTGCATGATCACCCCCTCCTTCCCCCAAGTCTTTGGTTTGTTTTATTTTAATGGCTCAGTTGAAAAATGACCTGCTTTCTGCCTGACACCGGGTCAGAGGGCATGCCACCGGCCGCATTCATCATCGTAAGCACCATGTCACCCTGACAGTGTTGACCATTAGTTTCTGTCAGTGACGAAGTCACAGCTGGGCTAAGGAGAGATGAGTTTCAGTTCAGAGGTCAGAGCCACAGGACTTGGGAATTGGATGAATTAGAAATTTGCTGTAGTTAACAAAAAATTAAATCACAATAGTTATAAAATATTCATCCATCCGGGCCAAAGGAAAATGAAGCCCGATATTTAATTTCAGATTATATCACCTCACTTTGCATTTTTTATCATAGATTCGGTCAGCCCCGGAACTTTGACAGGGCACTTGGGGACTTCATCCATTTCCGCAGATTAAAAATCCTCTCGTAAAAAAATTAATTGCCATTAAACTGCTCAGCGGAAGAAAAAATGTGCCCATCAGGACCCATTTATCGAGCGGGACCCTCTGGCGGGCTGATGGGGAAGTGAGTGGCCAGCAATGGAGGGGCCGGGCGAGCAGGCAGGCAGCCCCTCCCCAGGCGGGCCCCGGCGCAGCACCCCAGCGAGGGAAAGCAGCTGTAGGGACTAGGATGGAGAAACCCCACCGGGGCTCCCCTCCATTCTGGGTCCCCCCCGAAACCCAGCTGTGGCCAATTGGGTCACGTTGGCCTCAGCTCTGGCCTTTGACACCACCCTGAGCCAGCGGAATCCTGACCCGCTTCCGGGCCTAACTCCTGCAATGATCGTGACTACCCTTTCATTCTTGTGGCCCTATGGCAGGTGCTGTGAGATACGCACCCCATTTTACAGATGGGGAAACTGAGGCATGGATAAGTGAATCACCTGCCTGAGGCCCATGGCTGATGAGTGGCAGAGCCAGACTTAAACCCAGGTCTGGGACTCCTGAGACCACACCCTAAACCTTCCTCTATCTTGGGGTCCTGTCCTAGACAGGGTATGGCCTTAAGGGGTCCTGTCCTAAAGTGGGCATGGGGCATGGCTTGGGGTCCTGTCCTGCTGAGGGCGTGGCTGTGGGAAACCTGTCCTTGGGGATGTGGCTTTGGGAGGGCATGGCCTGGTGGGTGTGACTGCGTAGCCCATTCACCTTCCTGGAGAGGTAGCTTCAGGCCTGTGGCTGTTGGCCAGGGGTCAGGGCAGTGTGAGGAAGGTCCCATGTCTAGGGGGTGCTAGGGAAGTCCCTGATTCAGTCCAGGAGCCTGCCTCTGGGTGCTTAGCTCTCTGGATGGTCCCTGCCCAGGGCACCCTCACTTGGCAGAACGTTCCCCTTCGTGGTGGCCAGGGCGAGCCCTGGCTGAGACTCCACGGTGGTCTTAACCCCAGGCCGTGGGGTGGAACCCCCCTGGGCTGGGCCTAAGGAAGGGGCGTAGGCACCAGGGACTCATAGCACGTGTGGTGTTGGCCCTGCAGAGCCAGGTGGAATAAGCAGTGTGTGTGAGCGTGAGTCAGAGAG